TTATCTTGTTCAGCTGAACTTAATTATTTGTAATGCAGAGTACAGTCAACTTGTAAGAGGAATTTTACATACGTTTTCTCCATAGGGTCAGGATTCAGTGACCTAGGAAACACTCCTCAGAAAACATTGTCAGATTGTTTAATGTGGGACATTAAATGCATCACTCTCTACAACTAGCTGAAAAGGCATTGTAGCCAGGTGGGGGTAGGCCTGTTCTCCCAGGCAATCAGTGACAGATTGAGAGGAAATGGCCTCAAGTTGCACCAGGGAAGGTTCAGGTTGGGCATCTGGAAGAATTTTTTCACTGAAAGGGCAGTTAAGCATTGGTTTGGGCTGCCCAGGGAGGGGATGGAGTCATCATCTCTGGAAGCGTTCAAGAAATGACTGGATGTGGCACTTAGTGCCGTAGTTTAGTTGGCATGGTGGTGTTTAGTCAAAGACTGAGCTCGATGATATTTGAGCTCATTTCTAACCTTATTGATTCTATGATTTGCATAATAAATTAATCTAAACTGATGGTGGCCTTACAGAAGAGGAGAGAGAATTTCTTTGGCCTCTCATTTCCAGGGAAGTTGGAAACTGAAGGTACCACAGTTGATGCCAAAATAATTTTATTTCTTAACACAGGGCACACTAGTCTTTGGCTTTTGGACTCAGAAACTGAAAATTGTGTGGTACATGGCAGCACACAGGGAGTTCAGGAAGGAACCATAATCACTGCAGATCATAAATTATGTCCAATTCTTGGTTACCACTTAGCAAGTGTATCCTGAAGTACTCAACAAGTCTCTACAAAGGGTTATCCATATGGCTCCCATTAAAGAACATGGGTATTTTTTTCTTAGTGGGTTAATAGATGTTAGAGTGATCAGTACATAAATATATCTTAGCAGATAAATAATTGATTATTTGTTTAAAGAAAAAAAACCCCAAAGCATGCTTTAAAAGCATGTTGGCTGTCTCTGTAGCCACAAAGTGGCATTTCTTCATTGAGGCAGCTGGAAGACTGACAGAGTCAGCTGGAGTGCAGATACTTGTTTGAACTAAGTACATGATCCCACTTTATTTGCTCTCTCATAGCATTAAAACCATCTGACTGTGTTCTGCACTGAAGGAAATGTGTGACTTACTGACACAAATAAAGTTTTACTTCCAAGCAAAGCAGATCAGTTCTGATCAGATTCTCACATGGTCACACTTCTACATACTGACATCACAGATTTATATGCACAAGTCTAGTCAAGACAGTGAGCTCATGTTCAAAACCTGAAAAAAAAACTATTGAAGTCAAGGCCATTATTTGCCTTTAGTCACTGAAAATTTAGCTACCTCAGGATGAGAACCTTAACTTTATATCACTGATGTCTATGGAAATCTCTTTACCTGCTTCATGTTTATGCTGGAGGACGGTTATCAGTATCATGCATTCTACTGAGTCAATTTCAGAATATTAAGAAATATTAAGGTGACTCTGGGTAGTCTTCCAAATATGCTTCCAAATAACATAATTCTTATACTAACAACTGCCTGGGATTAAATCCAGTAATATTTAGTATTACTGTATTTTAAGACTGTATTGCAGGAAATTAATCTTTTTCCTAATCCTGGACTTTACCAGGTAGTGGACTATTTGCATTTCCTTTTGCCTCCCCATTTGCTATGGCTGGTACTGTTTTCTGATAGCTGCCTCCAGATAACAGATGTTTGCACACACAGTCCAAGCCTGTACTGGCTTTTAAATTCTATTACATTGTATTTAGTGAAAGGAGCTTCTGCAAAATCTTTCTCAGCATTGCAGCTTCCCAGAAAAACCTCTGCTGTAATAAATTTTCTGAATGTTCTTACAAAAACAAATTTAACTTAGAACGTACAATAGAAATTGTCTCCCCAGTTTACAGGTTTTGGGATCATTGCAAACTCTTCTAAACTTTTCCTATGCAGACCTATTTAGTGCAGAAACACATAAATAAAAATGCCATATTTCTGAAGAGGGGATAGTTTCAATACTAGTGAGACAGTGATAGACCTTCAGATAACTCCTACAAGTGATGATGCTGTAGTCAAGGATTTTTAAAATCATTATAGCTGCAGTCTCAATTGTAATCCTACAGATTTAGCCTTATATAACCTATAAACGTAGCCATAATTGTACAGTCTTTTATAACAAAGCCTGCACATCTGATGACACAGAGCTGGCACTCACCATTTCATCAACTATGAAAATACAAGGGAAAAAAGGGATACATTTCACAAATCATATCCCTGGATCTCTGATGCACTCCACAAAGAAATTTGTCCCAGATCTAAAATTACTCAGTATCTTCATCAATGGACTGGATTACAGAACAGAATATGCTTATTAAATATGCAGGCAACACTAAGCTGGGAAAGACTGGGTAGGAATTCAAAACTTTGCAAATATGTGAAAAAAGCAGCATACAATTCTGAAAATGAAAGCACAAATTTCTCTGGTAACACTAACTGCAAGTCAGAGAATGATAAAATGGTGCTAGAAATGGCAGGAAAAGTTCCAGTAGCTGTGACAACCCACAAGCCAGCAATGAGTCAGAGTTATCAATCTACTGCCCTTAGTGGGGTGTATAAATAGAACCAACCCTACTCTCTAAAGAATGTGAAATGAACTTTTTATGTCACTGCCAATGCTACAGCTGAGCACTGTGGGGAGTTTTGCATGGGATCCACATGGAGAAACCAGGGGCAGATGAACAGTGCTCCAGGAAACATGGCCACTGAGGAAGAGATGACTGATTGACAGGTAAGTCTATCCAGAGCACTGCTCCCCGCACTGCAGGTGAGAGCCATCCTGCTGGGACACACTGTCTGGCCTGGATCTCCTACTGAGCATGCAGGTGCTGGTAGCAAGAGCCTGGGTAGAGGCAGCACAACACAGCAAAGGACCAAACGCTAACTGGTGATGATGGGAAAGTGGGGCTGTGTGTGCACACGGGAGAAAACATCAGCAGCAAAGCCTATTCCAAACTGAGGTGGGGACCTACCTATTCAGAGCAGTAGGAAAAGGAGTGATATCCCTGAGAATAAGCATACACCAGATGCCCTTCATCATCAGAGGTTTTCAAATGCAGTTTTCATAGTTTGAGGCTCCCTTAGAGCTAGAAGGACAGGTGGGCACACATTTCAAGGGATCTTTTATTTGCTATTATTCTCTTCAAAACTACCCTGCAAGTTTGGTGGTGTGCTTTTTGGCTCTGTTATGGATTGTTACAAAGGCTTCAAACTGCTAGCATGGATCTAGGCAGCACTTCAAAAGAACCAGTGCCCATTTTAATGTATTGCAGCTCATTATTAGCTTTCATTTTTGTTCTAAGAGACAGATTTCACACTACGTGACAGTACTAACAAAGCAAAATGTTCCTCTTTCTCCACAGATAAATTTAGGAGACACATATGCTTCATAAAAGCTCCAGATATTCACTGGTAGCACTCAAGAGCTTTGTAATTTGATTCAAAGAGGAAAGCCTAATCTACGACAGCTATTGTAGTTGTAATGGCCAAATCCTCATTCATCAGTTTGGGACTACATTTTGTCCCTCAAAACCCATTACAATTTTGTTCATTGTTCAAATACCTGCTGCTTTTCCCCTTTCCCTTTTTAAGATTGTAATAATAATAATAACTAGTGTTCCCTAATGGTGGCTTGTTCATTGCTCTTTGACTATGCACAAAAATCCTTATTTATGTCAGGAGTGCCAAGGTCCACATTATTTGACAAAAACTGGAAAACTTAGGTGTAGCAAGCTTTGCTACATATAGCGTGCTGTATTGAATTCCCTGACTGTTGAATTCAACCTCATAATTTCATGGTTATAAGTCCTCTTAGAAGCTCAAGAAGTGGGTCCATGCAAATCTCATGTGGTTTAACAAGGGGTTTAACAAGGTGCTGCACCTGGGTCCAGGCAGACCCTGGTATCAACACAGGCTGGGAATGAACAGACCAAGAGCAGCCATGCCTAGAAGGACCTGGGGGGTTCTGGTGGCTGAGAGGCTGGACATGACCCAGCAATGTGCACTTGGATCCCAGAGAGCCAATTGTATGGCCAGGGGCTGCATCCAAAGCAGCGTGGTCAGCAGGGTGAGGGATTCTGTCCCTCTGCTCTGGTGAGACCCCACCTGCAGTGCTGCATCCAGCTCTGGGGTCCCAGCACAGGAAGGACACAGACCTGCTGGAAAGAATCCATTAGAGGCCACTAAGATGATGAAAGGTCCTCTGAGGAAAGGCTGAGAGAATTGGAATTGTTCATCTGGAAAAGAGAAGACCTAACTGCAACTTGCCACTACCCAAAGGTAACCTATAAGAAAGATGGAGAGAGACTTTTTACAAGGGCATGTGGTGATAGGACAAGGAGGAGCAGCTTTAAATTAAAAGAGGGTAAGTTTAGATTAGGCGTAAGGAAGAAATTCTTTACTGTGAGGATGGTGAGGCACTGGAACAGATTGCCTGGAGTTGTGGATGCCCCATCCTTGGATTTGTTAAAGGCCAGGTTGGATGGGGCTTTGAGCAATCTGGCGTAGTGGAAGGTGTCCCCGCCCATGGCAGAAGGGTTGGAACTAATGATCCTGAAGACCCCTTCTAACCCAAACCATTCTCTAACACCTACACAGAGTTCCAAAAGGCCTTTATGAACATACCACTTACAACTTATGGCAAAGTTTTCTTTCTTTTTGTTCTGAGAGGATTTGGTGAAGCATTTCCCATACTACTCCTTCCTTTACATTCTTTCTGCACAAAATCACTATGGACAGCCCCAAGTTCTACATCACCCCATCAGGCAGATGAAATCCGTCATGCCAGGCATTTGCTTCCTCCAGCTGTTCTTCCACCTTTCTTTGGAAGCTGTGATTTCTGGTACAGTAACAGCTCAGTTTACTATTTTTAGCACCCCCTAGGACTGAACATTACCTGCAGCATGCAAGAGCAGTGTTACATTTCTCTTCAGTGAGATAGGGAAAAAAGACATACATACATTTATACATATTTATTGTATCTTTTTAAAAGTAGCATTTGCAGTTACTTTTAAGCATTCATCTCTCTTCTGCTTCAAATGTGCACTTACTGAGAGAAACATCTACTGGCTTCCAAGTCCAAGTTTAATACCAATAATAATACATGCCAGAATCAAGCTTCACTGCTTGTTGGCAGCTCCTGTCAGTATACAAAACAGTATACATTAAGAAGTGTAGAAAAGGTCTGTGTTAATCATTCAACAATAGGCTGGGGCTGCATTAGAGTGACCACAACATCTTCTCCAGTTGAAGCACAACAATTTTCCTGAAGTTCACATTTAAATTTTTTTCTTTTGCATTGAGTAGGTGGACAAGGCAGTTGTTTTTTCTACAGTAGCTTCATAAGTTGATAACGTAATTAAGCTATCAGACAGCGTCCAAGGGAGGGTCACAAGGATGGTGAAGGGTCTGGAGGGGAAGCCTTATGAGGGGCTGAGGTCACTTGGTTTGTTCAGCTTGGAGAAGAGGAAACTGAGGAGAGACCTCACTGTGGTCTTCAACATCCTCACGAGGGGAAGCAGAAGGGCAGGTACTGATCTCTTCACTCTCATGACCAGTGAGAGAACTTGAGGAAACAGCGTGAAGCTGAGTCAGAGGTTTAGGATAGGTATCAGGAAAAAGTTTTTCACCCAGAGGGTGGTTGGGCACTGGAACAGGCTCCCCAGGGAAGTGGTGACAGCATGGGCCTGACAGACTTCAAGAGGCGTTTGGACAATGCTCTCAGGCACAGGGTGTGACTCTTGGGGTGTCATGCACAGGGCCAGGAGTTGGACTCGGTGATCCTGATGGTTCCCTTCCAACTCAGCATATTCTACAATTCATCTACAGGAAAACACTTGCTGTAGACCTTTATATTTAGAAATGTCATCTCTTCATGTAACAACAAGAAAATACTTCAAGTCTGGCATGTAGTTAAGAGAACTGGGAACAAACCAAATTTCATCCTCAGATAAACATAGATTTACTATAGATTTCAGTCTAGCCCAAGCACAAAGTTTTACACATACTACAAACAGAAACAGAAGGTATCAGCAAAAGACTATTCTTACATTGTTTCAAATTAATTTGCAACTATACAATTTTAATTGTAATATAAAAAGGGAAGGAATATAACAGAACAGGTATGAAGAGAAATATTTTCCAAACTTTTATTTGTGCACATTCATCAGGTGAAAAAGATAACTTTTACAGCTTCTTTGGTGCCCAATATTCAGCATACAAAAATGTAAAAGACTATTCACAAATAAAACACAAGCTCAAGCTAAAAAAAAAATGTCTTAAAGGTAGTGCACATCGTGACAGCTTTGCTTATGAATACACAGAAATTACTGCAAAAATAAATAGAATGTCTTTTTAAAAGCAGCAATTTCATATCTTGTAAACTTCCGTTTTTACAATACAGCACTGTTAAGAGTAAAATCCAAAAGAACTGGAGTCTATACTGTGGCCATGAGCAAGTAAAAGAGTCTGTATTCCTCTGCTATGGTTGGTCCAGTTTTCCTTTTTGCTTTTAGTCCAATGTGCAGCAGTCTTTGAAGGTGCTTGGTTAGGTTCCCTAACCATCAAGTGGTGAATTACAAAATTTATTTCCTGCTTTCAAACACGAATGGATAAATCTGTTCCACAGCACTGGCAACAGCCTTTACGTTTGGCCCTAAGACACAGTTTAAAAAAAAAAAAAAAGGCAGTAGGAAGAGAAAATTCAGGGAATCAGAAATTAAAATAACAACAGTACCTTTAAAAAAAGCCTTAATATTATTAGCAATCACAACTTCATACCACAGACAATAACAAGTTTTCCCCCATTTCTCCTAACTTAACAAATTTTCTCTCATCACTTTTCATGTGAAAGTCTTTTCTTGTAAATCTGGAAGATGTTCTACTTTTGTCAATGGACAGATTACAATTAAATAATACTGTAATTTAATTTCATAACAACTTGGCTGATTTTCAATTTACTGGCTTAAACAGCCCAGAGAAGGGGCTGAGTGGCAGAGGTAAAATTAGCTCTTTTACTTATGTCAATCTTTTAGGAATTCGTATTTCTTCAAGCCTAGCCACTTATAGCTCTTGCTTTAAAAACCTACCAACAAAAGCTACTGTTAAATAATGCTGGATTTAACTGAAGTACATTTCAAGTAAGGTTATTATAGGTTTGAAAATTACAGACTATTACTTTCTATCCTGGGTTTTGCAAATAGCTTCATCATTGATCTGAGGACAAAACCTGCAAGCCAGGGAATGGTTTTATCATCTCAGGATGAAGCATATGAAGGTTATCTAACATGATCTGTGAGTATCCAGGCAAAGAAAAGGAAAAATGACCTAGCAATGCTTGCTGGTGGTATCAGACCACTTCACACACTGAAAAATTAAGTTTGCAAATAAGTGAGCAGTAACATGCTGGAAGATATTAACTCTGGATAGAAGCTTGGTGATGCAGGTAAAGGAGAACAGCAATTTCTCACATGCTTTGATGAGTAGGAACGCAAGGTTTCTGTAACCCCACTTTAGACTTCAAAAGCTTTTTCCAAGTATAGAGAACTGTTCAAAATTACTCCCAAAACCAATAACTTAAGCATAAGATGCTTAAGTAATTATTGTTTTACGTGCTCAGTCAGAAAGCAAATGGACAAGAATAGGATTCTTCCTGTATTTTCAAACTGGTTGAGTGAAGCATCCAGCTAAAACAAGCCTAGTGAAAGATACCTGTCTTCTGGGTAGATATTGCACCCTCCTTAAATTTGGCTGCTATTAGAAAAGAAAGTAGACAGGAAAGGACGAGCCTTCAAATAGAGAGATTTTGAGTAGGCAAATCGTTCCAGCAAAAAAATGTAACTCTCTCTAAGGCTGAACAGATGTAAAAATGGGATCCTCATTCTAGGGCATATAAGAGAAGGAAAAAACAAACCAAAACAACACAACCCCCCTAAACAACCCCCTCATTTTTCATTTTGGAGTCAAAGAAGCAATACTTCTTTCTATTACATGCTAGTGATTTTTATTATGTTTTACGAAAGTAACAAAATCTTTTTATACTTGTCTCATGAAAAGAACTCACCTTCCTGGGTTTTTTGTAACATTTCTAATTATGTATCTCAAAATTCTCTGAGGCAGAGGTATTACAAGTACTAGTACTACAGAAACATGAATCTTTAAAGGAAACTTCATCTGAACACATTTGAGAAGGAGTGCACTATGGCTGAAAAGTAATTTAAATAATTTTTAGAATAAGAAGCATAAGACTCAGGACATTTTTTCCTCTAGAAGAGAGGCAAAGCAGAAGCCTAGAAAATCAACAGAGGTCTGAGTTAATTTTTCAAACTCACTGCAACAACTAAACTAGAAGGATGTGAAACTTCTATGTTTACCATATTTGCCTTCTTATTTGAAAGGAAAATTCTAAAAATATGGAAGTGATTTTGTAAGCAATGAAATAATAAGAATCTTAGAGAGAAGCTGAATCTCATTAGGAGTCTCACAAGACATGCTGAGAGCTTTTTATTACTGCAGTGATACTGCTTCTTATTTATTTTAAATTTAGTTTCTAGTTTTGGCTAGGCCAGTTGCACGTTTCAAACATACAGTGCAATCTTGAAATACTTTTTACCCCTTCATTTTTAGATTACTGAATCTGATGGAAGTTTGTCTTCTTTAGAAAACACTGCTTTCAATATCTTGTGGGAAATGTTCTGCATAAACACAGGCATTTGAATTAAGATGTGAAAAGAAAAAAATCTTTACCCAGCTTCTGAACCAGTAGCTGAGCTCTAGCAACTGCAAGACATAATTCCTGCTAAAGTGAAACAAAATTATTTTTTTGGTTTTATAGCATTTTAACATGTATACTCTGAAAAACTGACTTCTCGTATCTGGACACTGATGGTGGACATCTCACAAGCAAACAGAAAAGAGAATGAAAAATGAAAATGATGAAGAGAGAAGAAAAAAATGACTGGCTTCTCCAAGACCCAGGACAACCATGTCTCTGATTACATGGGAAAAATCACTGATGCCTGTGATTCAGTGGTGGTTCTCTTAGCTGAGCTTTAACAGAAGAGAGCACAAGTCTGAAGAACTGTAAATATTGGTCAGCTTCATTTATGCTATACTATACAAAATGCTATATATCCTAAGAGTTTCCATAAATCTGCAGTTTGGAAATAGGTATTTATGAAAGGGATGTTAATACTAAATGCAGTGTAGTTAACATCTCTGCAAACAGAAGAAAAATGTAAGAAAATTCAAATATTTAAATAAACAATAATTGCCTGCATTCTTAAGTGCCACCTTACTTTTGGTTTCATTAAAAAAGCCAGACTGTGTACACTCAGTCTAACTAATTTTTTGAACCTACCAATAATAATACTTTCTCTACAACTCTTCTGGCACTTTCACTCAAAAACAAACTAGGTGCTAGCATGGGGAAACTAAATCCTTTCAACATAATAGTTTGACTGTTTTAAAAATCTTGCTTTCCCAAAACTACTGGCTCTGAAGTTAAATATTCCCAACAAGTTAAATATTTATTTTTTGACATTAAAATACCTGTAACTGTGATACTGCCTGTGGAAAAAATCTGTAAGGTAGCTCTGAGAGATTTTATTCTGTAACACACGGCAGGATGAAGTTCTGGTTCATAACTAGAAAACAAAATGAAAAGTAAAAACGAGAGATCTAGAACTGAAAAATAAAATCTTAAGAAGTATTCCAGGACTAAAATTCTTTAAAATCCTACGTACCTTGCATGAGGTCTGTTATTCTTCGTAAATTCTGGCAATCTTATCTCAAAGGGCATGTTGCACACTGCTAAAACATTCACAACTTTAAAATCTGTGAAAATTACCTTTTCAAAAGAGATGGGAAAAAAAGACATTAGAAATTTACATCAAGTCAGATGCATGGGTTACAAAAAAAAAAAACCAACAAAAAACAAGGCTACTACATAGAATATTTTGATGATTTGATGAGTCAAAATTAGAATGTTGAGTCTGATGCTTTTCTAATAGGCATCTAAAGAGTACTTAATGGACTCAGAACATTTACATTATCCTTCTGTGGTGGACTATCTGCTGAACTAGATACCTCACAGTTGTATCATGGTCACTATCACAGTATGGTTAGAGTACAGTTTAAGGATGAGACACAGAAACAACTGAAACTGTTGTACTAAACACCTCCCCACTGAAAATAAACTAAATTTAAGAGCTCATGGAATATCAAAGTAAGCAGATAAAAAGCTTAAATATTGTTGCAAACTTCTTTAATGCCTTGTTGCTATATACCATTTGTATTAAAGCTAAGAATAAGAAAAAAGGTGACAACTGTTTTGCTTTAAATGTCCAGCAGCCAGTAGAGGAAACTGGTTTTCTAATCCGTAACTTTCTGAAACCCAAGTCAAACTATTTGAATAACTCAGTTATTCTCTACCACAGATACTTTAGATGACAGCAAAGTAGCCAACAGATAACTGCTACACAAAGAAACCACACTGCTGACAGGTCAGTGTTGACAATGTCACTGGGGAAACTTTTGCTCATTTTCTCAGGTTGCCTGAACTTTAAATGGCCATTTTTCTTCAATCTATACTTCTTAGAAAGGTATTAGAAAGATAGTTGGAAAGATAGCTAGAAAGAAGCAACTCAGCCTTAAATCAACTTAACCTTCAAAATACAAACTGCTCACTTTATGACAAAACTTGGTGTGTCCACGCTGGAAGTACAGTGCACCTTACTGACTTAACATTCCATTCCTACTTTAAAGGGCTGGGTTCAAAGTACACATTTGTGACAGTAGCGTGTCACATTTTTGCTGGGGTCTGATTCAGCATTACCAGCATAGGCTGTCACCACTACCTTTATATACTATAATCAAAAATAGTCTTTCCCTGAAAATGACAGCTACTGAGTCTATTTCATTGTCTGTCCCTAAATTGAACCTGTGTGTAAACAGCACAACAGACTATCAGGAAGTTTTAGAGCACCAAATCGTGTAATTTTAAGTGGTTCATGTTGCTGTTTTTCAACCCTTACTATGAAATGCAAGTGGTGTTTCTGACTGGTAATGTTAACCCAAACCCAGATAAAAGAGAGTGTTTCCTGTCCTAAGTATTTTATTTGGCATATTTCCAGCGGTGCAACATGACAGTGCAGGAGCACTTTTCTCTTTAATTTAAGAAGCTCAAACTTGCCCTTATTCAGATGGAAATGTATCTGCTATTCCAATAGAAACGAGTGAAAATTATGCTCAAATTACAGTAAAGTTTCAGCATTTTCCAAATAAATCTTTGGAGATATTGTAAATTCTATCTAAGACACATCTGTTCATACATTAAACTAATTTTCTTGTTCATTATCCAGTGAAGAAGCACTGCTTTGAGCTGCCAAACAAAACTCAAATCCACAAAACAAAACAGCTTCTCTTTAACCAGCATCTGGAAAATGTATTCCTACACAAAAGGGCCATTTGAGTGAAAACACGTTAACTGCTAAATCATTATACTCCCTCTTCTTTGTTTCTTTCTAAAAAATAAACTGCTAGCATTGCTTGAGTCATGCAAGTCCTTTTCCATCAGAATTACCTGAAAACCTAGTTTCTGTAGACTACGAGCTAGTCGTCTGGCACCAAATTTAGCTTCTTCTTCACTATAAAGGAGAAAGAAAAGGATCTAGCATTAACAGAAATAGAGTATATAGTTGTGCGCACACACACACACCACAACAGCTACTCAGACTACAAAATGAACCATTATATAATGTAGCACATCAACCATGATCTCATGGACAGCCTACTGTAAGTATTACATTTTAACTAGACAGACATTCCAATGGAGTCCTTCATGGCCTATTTGCAGGTATCTTGGCACTTGGCTCAAGCTGAAGTGAGAGACATGTTTTAATCATACCTCATTTTAAGTACCCGTAACAGATAAATAAGATCATGGGTAGTCTGGAGTTAACATCCGGAACAATCCTCTTTAATTTTGGAACAGAGATCAGACACAGAAAGTATGCAAATTTACTATTTTACCTTACCTTATCCTTACTTCGAAATGCAGACATGTCTTAAAGGATTTCAGCTCTTAAGAGTTTAGTGAGTGTGAGATGTCTCTGAACTGAGAGTCTGCTTTTGCTTCTTTCCAGTCCCTCAACACTGTAAAACTTGATTAAATTTAGGTGGGGTTTTGTGAAAAAATAAAGAGATAGCCTCAGGAAAGGTCATCCCTTCCCAAGTCTCAACTTCTAGCTAAACACACAGAATTCTTAAAGGCTTCTCAAATCTCTTTAGGATTTTCTTAACAAGGCAGTTTTCCCTGCTGCTGTTACAAGAAGGCTAAACTGATGTTGTTTAAGATTTCAACACTGATTCACACAAAAACTTCACATAGCAAACTTACTCCCAAATACATAGTATGACAAGGATCTGCATATGATCCAGTGTGAGCCAATTTAAGCAGCAGTAAGTACTACCTCTTCTTCATTTACAATGTTGTATTTTAAAATACACAAGGATTTAGAGCTAGAGAAAGAATCTTCATGAACTCACCTTGTGGCTCCTGTGCAAATAACTTTTCCTGAGGACCAAATTGTGGCCGTAATCCTAGGTTTCCTAAGCTTCATTAAAACCTTCTAAAAAAGAAAAGTAGAAAAATTGGTAATTACCAGTAATTAAATTTCATACTTGAAAAAAAAAAAACCCTGTTACCCAAATCAACTAAAGTTACACTAAAATCCCTTTAGTTTTGATAGGCTTGAACTGCTCCTTCATCTCTTTCACTAATTAAAAAACCTAGCTCCTGAGAAGAGCAAAATAAGCATGAAATAGCCAATGATTCAGTGTACACAAAACAGATTAAGTGAAAGTATTTTTCACTGAATAAAAAGCTGAAAACTACAAGCACCATGCTGGTTTTTTTCTTATTACAGTGATTTGACATTGCTGACTCTGTATCAAGATACATTTTCTTGACAAAGCCATCACATTTTGGGAGGCAAAACAGACTCTGAGGTATAAGAAGCGTCATCACATACCTTGTACCCAATATTCACCTCACGAAGTGCTGTCTCCTGAGACAGCATTTCATCACTCCTATTTCTGTACAAGTAATGTATTAGTAACTAAATACCTACAGCAAGAGAAATAGAGAAAGAAAATTCTGCTTCTCTCTATCCACCATTCACAGGTATTAAGCAGAAGAATGTTTAGCTTAAGGAACCTTTCTAAAACCATATAATTGAGGTATGCTGAATCTCTTACCCCAACATCACGCTTGTATATCACATTTGCTCCCTCTAATGCAATCTTCCTCAAGTTTAAATGACATCTTGTTCTAAAAACACACACTACGTTTGTGATTAAAATGTCCAGTGCAACATCACTGTCCGCATCCATTGGGGTGATTTACAACTCAATTTTCCCACCAGCTCACCACGAAGATCACATCCTGAGAAGCAAAAATGATAAAATTAAACATACCAATAGAAAATTGCCTGTTAATGCCATTGTATACATTTGCCCCTTAAAAGACACAAGAAGCAGAAGTCACTACACTCTGACTCATTTAACAATGTGAGGGGAGGGGGAGGTCTGTACCTTTGTGCTAGAAAATAGGATGTAACTTGTTCAAAGCCACATTGCAAGACTTAAGAGAAATGAAGTGCATATACACACACATATACAAGAGTTTTTTAAATTGCCAGTTAAATAGGCTACAATGCTTACTACGTATATTGCGACATTGTAAAGATTACTGAAACTTCTTCCATAGCTCCAGTGGATAATCTTTCTTCAGCTCGTTTGAGGATGTCATTAGACACCTCAGGAAAATACACTTCTCTGACTGCTGAAGTTGATAATTCTGAACAGTTTGACAGTTGTGTTGGAATGGATGAGCCTATGAGTAACTTTGAACTAACACCGGTTACACAAACTGCAGTCTGTAGACAGCCTGCTACCACAGCTTTCCCATCTTCATCCAGCACTCTTGGCCTATCTCTCCCAATAATAGCTCAAAGCAAACTACACAAAACATCCTGGTGGCAGCAGCAGCCTGGGCTGACTGCCTGCACTGCCCACAGGAAGGCATTGCACTGGCAGAGTGAGATGCAATGTTCCTGAGGAAAAGCATGGCTAACTGTGAAGGCACAGGATGGCCGCCTAGTGTGTGCACTGCAAACCTATGGCACCCAGGAAGCATCCAGGCTGTCCGTGCTCATCAAAGGCGACACTCCTCACACACACCTCAGCTGGGAAAGAGAATCCTAACACCAGCAGCTGGGCTACCACTCATCCCAGCCCAAGAACACCCGACATATCTCTTCTGTAACCATACCAAGCCAAGACAGCAGGCATCTCAAATAGATCTCAGGTGAAGAAATGGGAGGGGACAAGAGCAAGATCATTGGTATACAGTGGAAAGGACTTTATGTAAATCTTTTAGCAGTATTTCATCCAAAATAAAGGAAAGTAAAGAAAAAAACCAGAGAAAAACTGTCACATATATGAAATGCTCCACATGGTCATTGCCATGGAAGAAGCAGGACACTGTGCATCAAGAACAGTGACATACCTAACAGACTATGATGTATTTTTATCACTTTAAATGTTTTAGCCCTATGTTCTATATTAAAAATCTTCAAGACACAACATTAATGCTATTATCAGTATTTTCATCTGACTATGCTTTCCTAAACATCATGACATAGTCGGTAACGGAGACCTCAAGGTGCACCTTCGACTAGCGCGCACTGACAACACAGAAGTAACAAACTACCCAGCAGATGTGCACATGCACTGCGTCAGCTGCTGTGGTGGTTACTGCTTACACTCTGCAGCTTGTTCCCTGCTGAAAGAATTATTCTGTAATTGTTGGCTTGTCCAATATAAGAAAAGGCAAGATGGATGATAATACAGAAAAGAGATGAAGAAACAGCAAGAGGAAAACATAAAAACCAAAGGTTATGTGTGGGGGTGGAGGGAATGCAGGCAAAGAAGAGAACAAACAGTGACTAATTAGTACTCCCAGATCCCTTTTTTAATCCTTTTTATTGAACTAAAAATTACATGAATCCTCAAAGTTAGAAATTACTTATCCCATCTGGTTTTGATGGACTACTACAGATTGGGAAAGTAATTTATGGCACCAGATCCAAAGATAGCACATGTGCAGATTTTGAATGGCATGCAGGCAGGGCCAGCACGGAGCTGGAACTCGTGGCATCTTCAGAGAGGCATTTGTTTTCCACCCTGGCTCCAACTCCTGGCTCTTACTGGAACCCAGGAAAGATTGTCAACAAGTTACCTCCAATCAGCAGCATCTCCCAATTATCAGCAAGCATTTGCTGGCACACTCAGCCTCTACATTCTGGAAGAACATCAGTGTCGAGCATAACACCCTTGAAAGGTTGCTAACATCTAAGCAAACCATAGTATTGTATGATAATGTCCCCATAAAAGATGGCTTATCTTAAAAAGATCCAGGGAGAAAAGTCACATGCTCATTCAGAACAAAGGCAAAAGTGGTTGAAAAGAGAGGAAAATTACAATTTAAAAGGAAAAGATCTATTATTAAGGCAAAAAGGCGGCTGTGGAGATGTCAGTAAGGATGTTTCCAGCAATTACAATGTATCTTGGTTAGAAGTACAATCTACTTGCATAGATATTAAGAGAAGAAAAATTACGCAGATTACAGTGGTGTGCCTCCATTTTAATTAGCAATGTTCTGAAAGCTCAAGACAGCAGATACTAAGGGAGGGGCTTTTTAATTTGAAATTGTATATATTATGTCAATGATTGTGAACACACCCATTCCTATTAAGCATACAAATACAATGTTTAAACTCTTCCAAGGCATTGTTTGGAAAGATTGGGAAAACCAAAATGTTTCTAGGCTTGGATACTTGTGATCAAGCAGCAAGCATTAACATATCACAATCTTTGACTTAAGCATTCATACTAATGTCTCACACCTTACTGACAACAAAGGAAAAAATAATCTACAGAGACAATGTCCTGTTACCTTTCTTTTGGAAGCCTTGAATAACTTCAAATTCAGAGGAACCACGAGAACAAAAGCAACTTAAACTTTCTTAAAAAATAAAAATACGTGGGCTACATAAAAAATATCATCTGAAGGACATATTTGCAAAAAAGGACTAACAGTGTCCAAGAAAGAACGATGTTGCTCTTATTTACACATATCTCCAGCAAGCATGACCAGCTGGAACATTCTGATCCTCCTCTTTCCCAGCTGTCTCTTGTATTCTCTGCTCTTCATACACACTACCATAGCACTGACTGTTATTTCCCAAAACCTGAATTTCTGCATTTCCATATCTTTTCTGCAAAGTGGGGAAAACACTGCTCCTTACTTATAAGCCTATTAATATTCCATACTTATGCAGTTACACTTGCAGAACAGAGAGGTTGAGTAGAAACCAAACAACAGGTTATTTCCAGTTCTGGATTTGCAAATGCTTAAGTTGAGCTCATCTCAGGTTTTGTTGATTAATTTTGTCCTTTGAAGGTTCTCTCATCTGAACTGTAGAATTTTGGCAGTCTGAAACTCATTTCTAAAATTATGCTTTGCCAGCTAATGCTAATTTAATAATAGGCTAAATTTGAAAATAATTTGTCTACATGTATAGCATTTCTTTTAGATTATGTACTTCACTTGACTTTCTCCAACACAAGAAACTAGCTAACTTTGATTTCAAATTGTTTTTCTCCAGCTTAACACAATCTATCCCAACAGAGGAAACAAGCTGAAATACCTCTCTGCAGAAGTTTGCATTATTTTGTTTTATCAGGGAAATTTTAGAGGATTGTTCTTTCTTTTCAACATAGATTTCAGGATATATCTGGAATATTACCCTAAGAGAAAAAAAAAATGAAGGAAAAAAGAAAGTAGATAGATTAAGCATGATAACACAAAAATAAAAACAACAACAAAAGCTAATGCAAGGATATTTGACACTGTAATGTATCCTACACTGAAACTAGAGAAACTCTACAGAATAAGAAATACTTTGGAACGAGGAATGAACACTCAAGTTCTTAAAGCATTACCTCTACATCCACTGTTAGAATCACAGACATACTATTTTAGATACTCTATAAACACACGTGAAGACAAAACACCCTGCACAGAAATCTTACAATCTTAAAACAGCCAGCAGTCTATCTTCAGAAAGTTCCAAACCAACCACAGTACCATCATCAAAGAAAAAGGAAAGGCACTTGGGATGGGGTATATAAACAAAGTATTATTTTAAGCTCTTGACTACCTTTGATCCAAGAAACTCAAGAGCTATAAAGGTAGATGGGGGATATGTAACAATGGTTATGTTAATGTCAGAACAGTTTAATAAACACCTTTTTCACCATCAGCCTAAGTATAAGCAACTTTTACTAGTTATTTTTAACCTTTCTCCAAAGCAGTTCACAAACTGACCAACTCCACAAACAATTCCAACAGCCCAGCTGAAGGGATATTGACCACTACTGTGTCAGTAGATGTTTATCAAACTAAAGCCTGAAAGGCATCTTTAAAGACGTTAACATGAACCTCTACAGGACGTTTCCATATGAGAATGGAGAATGAATAAAGTCTGCTAGTAGGAATGGGGAGAGATGATTACATCCTCCCACTGAAGATATAATTTTAAAGATTTGTGTTCAGCCCCTCAGGAAACAGGTCCATATGGAAAGCTGGAGGTGACACACCTCTGAAATCTGCTTGAATCCTTAGACACAGTAAGGTCACAACAGCTGGTGAATGACTCTCCGAAAACAAGAGCAACACAGTTACTATTGTCTGTGCAGAACATCCTCTGCTCCAAAAAACTTTCTTCGATCCAGGCACTGAGCTAGTGGTGCATGCTTTTACTTTCTGTCGCAATGGCAAGTTAAACTGTGCCTAAAGCAAAAGGCCATCTTGAAGCTACTATTCTCATCTTTCAGGATGAGCAGTCATAATTATTTATATTTTGGGGGAGAAAATTTTCAAATACGTGCAAAGCCAGTATCAAAGCAGGGATTTGTTCAATTAGATCCATGCACAGAGTGATAATACCAGCTATACCGTGAGCAAGTAGGACATCAATCCTGCTCTTGGATAAGCCTACTGCATCTCGGTAGGGTCGTCCAACACAAATCCATTTGCAAGAATAAAACCAAAGAGTATATAAAACAAGACAAGAAAGCATATTTTAAATAATTAATTACATGCCATTTTCCTCAAATCTTTCTCTCATTAAAAGGTCCATTCATATTCAAAGCAAGATGCACTTGAACTCAAGTTTGTGCCATCTTTCCCTTAGAACATCCAGGAATACTTGATTGACAGGCATTAAGAGGAATCCTTTCGGTCTTTATAATGTGTGGAAAATCATCGTAAGTACGACAAAAGTCTGAACCAACAAGTTCGGTGGCCATTCCAACATGATAAAACGTCGTAAGAAAAGTAAAAATGTCTAGCTGTAACAAAATATTTTACGGCAACGGGTAAGCCTCTCACTCCCTCCCAGTCAAACATTTTTACCATTTGCGCGTCCCAGCTGAAGAAGCACGAGCACCCTTCCTACTCCCGCTGCTGGGAATCTCGCTCAAAGCCCTATATGCGCCAGTGTCACAACGCTCTGGCCAACAACTACTTCTTCTCCCCCCTCAACCCCAGCCGAAACTTCTGCGACCAGCACGGCACAAACAAAGCGCAGGCAGCAAGGCGGCCTGGCCACGCCGAGCTCCGCCGCTCGGCAGCGCCGGCTGGCGCGGGCATCGGCCGCCGCAGGGCACGGGGCCGCCACAAAGCCCTCGGGGCCGGGCGCGGGCCGGCCGGGCCGGTCGGGGAACGGGCCGTTCCCCCGCAGGATGCCCTGCCCCTTCCTCCCTCTCCCTGCCCCGGCGGCCCCGGCCACGCACGCCCTCCTGCCCCAGGCGCGATCGGCACCGCGGCGGGAGGCACCGGCAGGGCCGCGACGAGGCGGGGGAGGCCCCGCGCCGCCTCCCTCACCTCGGCCGGGCAGGGGCGGCGGCGGAGGCAGGGCAGGGCGCGGCGCGGTGCCGGTCAGTGGGTGCCGGTCGCCCGGCGGCGTTCCGGGTGCTGGGCCGACTCCCCGCGACAATAAACATCCCCCAGCGCCGCGGGCATAGACGCGGCGCGGCTAGAGCGGCCGCCGGAAGTCGCGGCGGCGGGAGGGAGGGAGGGAGGAGGGGACGGAGGGGGCCGCGCTTGCAGCGCTTCCGCTGTCGTCCGCCGCCCCCGGAGCCGCGGTACGCCCCGGGACGGGGCCCCCGTGAGCGGCTCCGCACGGCATCGCAGAGCGGGGCACGTCGGAAGGGACCACAGTGGGTCATCTGGTCCGACCTCCCTGCTCAAGCAGGGTCGTCCCAGAGCACATGGCACAGGATTGTGTCCGGACTGTTCTTGAGTATCTCCGGTGAGGGAGACTCCACAACCTCTCTGGACAATCTGTTCCAGTGCGCGATCAGCCGCACAGTAAAGTTCTTCCTCATGTTCAGCTGGAACTTACTGTGCATCAGTTTCCGCCATTGTCTCGTGCCCTAAAGCTTGTAGAACTGATAATAGGCTTCGGGTCGACCACGTCCGAGGCAGCGCCTTTGCCAGCGGAGCCGCGGGGGAGCTGATGCAGTTTTCGGCTCAGACGCTGTGCACACCCGTGGCACGCACCAGGCATTTCTGTGGGCGCTGGCCTTGGCCCCTCCTCAGCTTGCTGCAGCCCCCTGGTCTCTGGCCTGGCCGCTGCACACACCCTGAGTGACCCGAGCGGTCAGCCTTGGTCTGACAGGAGCCAGCAGGCAGCAGGGCTCACTGCAGCAATTGCTGCTCCGAACATGCACGTTGCACTGCAGCAGGACTCTGGTCACTGCATGGTGCACACTTAGAGGAACAGAACAGACAGAATGGGACATGTGGATGCAGTGTGCGTGCCTGGATAGCACTGGTTCTCTCTGTCCAGGACAGTCCTCTAAACCTGGCACTGTCCCACCTGTGCTGTCTGTAGGGAGTAGAGCCTGTGATGAGCTACCTTTCAGCTACACTTACATTTTCTCTTGGAAAAGCTGTTGTGCTTCACATGGGAGCCCAGGAATGTGCCTGCAATGTGTCCCATTAAGGACTCACCACCCAGGCTGAGAAATGAAACAGATGTCAAGTTGATTTCAAATTTAGAAAGAATATTGGTCTTTATATGAAAATTATATAATTGTATATTTATATGGGTGACCTGCAGAGTATTCACCGAATTGAAAATTTTCTGCAACTGAGATTCTGTAATTATGTACTTTGCTCATGTGATGTGGTAGCAAAATAGCTTTAATTAGGATAGAAGGAAGGAACACTATGAAATTTAAATTTTGAATTCTTTAGAGTTGGCGTGTTTTCTTCTGCTAGATTCAGTTTAATCTTTGAAATGCATGACTAGGTTCGCTTGTCAAAAATAAGTATTTCAAGTTCTTCGAATCGGCTGCGGGGACATGCTTTGTCTGCTGTTCCCAGGCTGGTTGCACTCCGGCGTGGGGCAGCGCTGCCACCCTGTGGCTTCCTACAGACACCGATCCCCCGCCTTCGGGTGAACACAGGCAAGCAAGGCATGGTCTTGGAAACCAGGGCTCTGATTTACCATAGTTCAATAACTCTGCACGGTATCTCCAGCATTTTTACAGAGTGCCTTAAGGCTGGTTTTGTTCTTTATGGGCTTCAGGCTCTGAGTCATTACAATCACACAGCAAAAGTGGGGTAGAGTGCTGTGATGTCTTTGCTCTGACAGTTCTTTCAGGATCTGGATGGCTGTATCACAACAGATGCTGATTTTTTGTTTTCTGAATATCTGATCACATCGGCAAGTTATGGAGAAAATCTTTATAAACCCTGATTTTGCTTGAATTTTGATTAAGCTTATGTTTTTTCAGCATAAACTTAAAGGTCTACAGAAATTCAAAACAAAATGTCTGCAAGCACACACTACCACAGCCTTCACACAAGTCTTCACATGCTTGCTCTTTTCAGGGTATAACTTTTTCTAGCACATACTCCTCAGAATAGTGCAGTCGTTCCTGGATGTTGGGAAAATTATTTTTGCTGATGAAGAGATGAACCCTTATAATTTCAAAGTTTTGACTGCTTTGTCAGCCTGAGCTTTTCCTGTTTAGACTAGGACATGTTTTGAAGATTGCATCTTTAGATATATATTTGGCAAATGTGCAAATATAAGCAAGTAGCTATGATCACATAAACGTGGAATGCAAATAAGGTGATTTGGCACCTGACTTGTAAGTTTATCAGTTGTGCTGCAATTTTATTCTGTACTTATATAGTTTACGAAACTGGTTGTCCTCTGCTTGCCTTCTCCTCTTCCTGGTCTCCATTCCTCCAGGCAACTCTAACTTGGCTGCATGGCTTCCTTCACTAGTATGACTGAGATGCCAAGGATGTGGATCTTCATGAGGTTCTAACTTACCAGATGCTGTATGACATCAGACAGAGAAGGCACTGAGGCCATTTCTGATACTGTCACTTCCTTACTACATGGTTTCGTTCTCCTATGCCTTTATTTTGCAATCTCTTGTTTGGAAAATGAAGAGGAGATGGAGATGTGGGGAGGGTGTTTCCCGTGCTTGGACAATCTGCAGGATGGAATTGTGGGCTGCTTGGGACTGTCAGTAAGAGTGCAGTAGAACCAAGGTAGCTGAACTTTAGGACACTGCGCATGTTTTTTGTTCAGTAATTACAGCAGCAAGGCTGAATGAAGATGCATTTTCATTATGTTGTTGTTCAGCTGTATTTTCAGGTTCCTGTAAAAGGAAATCACTCTTCAGACTGAAGCAAATGCTTTGTTATCTGAATTTTTCTATTTTTACAGGATTAACTATCAATCAGATAAAATCCTGTGCAAAGTAGACTATGGAAAAGTGTAGGGGGGAGAGAAGAAAGCTGGATGGCCCCCTGAGGCAGCCCACAATGAAGGCTGGCTGGAGAGTTTTATGCAGCTGTGTTGTAATACTGTGGTGTCTCAGTGGAAGACTGCATTAAAGTATTCGTGTTTGAAGAGGAAGTAACCAGGAGCAACCAGTGTCATGGATGTTCCATGGAAATGACCTTGTGTGAAATGGTCATCAGCTGCAAACATGATACTGCAGGTTAATTATGAGATATCTCCCAGGCTGGCAGCCATAAGGGAATGAGCAAGAAGTCAGTCAGGGAGGGAATCCTTTGCTCCAGGGCTTAGTTTATCAGATGAAACAGTAAATTCTGCTGTGCCTTCTCACACCTCTCTGATGATGTACAGCATGATAACTCATGCCAGCTCTGTTGAACAGTTACCTCCCTGCTGTAAGTGGCACTTAAACTAGTGCCACAATATTAAAACGTTGTTTAATTTTACAATATGTATTATTTTATGTTTGTTTATAGAAGAGATAAATATAGTTACTACATAGTATGTAAATATTTATGTCACATTTTTATATAGTGTATATATGTATTGCATAGTGTGTATATCTGTATATTGCATAATTGCATATTGCTAGGTATACTTTTAAATATAAAATAAGCATATTAAGAAAATGGCAGTAAAGTACCTCAACATAAAAGTCAAAGTATCAGAATGAGGCTTCTCTTTAGTAAACTTTGCAATAGTTTAATGCATATCTGTCGTTTCAGCCTCTATGACTGAATGGTATTTACAGATTATGCATGCTGACTTCTGCTGGCAGTTAAGAGAGAAACGTGGTGAAAGCAGAATCAGAAGACGGAGTGTGAGGGAAATGAGGAAGAAAAATTTGTGGGAAGACAGTAACATTGGTTCCTCAGCAGCTTCCCTACAGTGCTGTGTCTATCTGCAGCCAAACTGAGGGTGCTGGCCTCTGCTCCCCCTGTCCAGCTTGCTTCCTACCCCAGCAGAATGATGTTAAGCATGTGCAGACAGCACCTACTGCTCTCTGGATTATTCCCATGGATTTAAGTAGAGGAATATCTCAATTGCAGATCTTGGAATGAGCTTAACTTGATGCTAATTGGCAATGGTGAGAAAGAGATACTATGAGAGCATATATTCAAATGTTGATGTCAGGCAACTCACAAATCAGGTAGTAAAAGTACTGCAGAGTTAGGTAACAAATGAACAGAGGTTTTCAATGTTGTAATTTAGGGTATAATATTTAAATCTCATGTTATGCTTGTTCTTGAACTTGGCCTTTTGCTCCCAGTGACCTTTAGTCTTCATGTATATTAGTTATGAAATACAAATAGCAAAGAGGGTCCCCACAAATAATTTTTTGGCCCATAAAAGAAGAAAGCAGTTTGATCTAGAAAACAAGTGAGAAGAGCATGAGACTACAGTGAGAAAAAGGCATCAAGTATCTCAATTGCTGTAGTTTCTAAGGCTGCAGTAACACTGATAAATAAAACAAGGCTGAGGCTTATCTTTCTTTGTGCTGGGGTTTTAGTAAGGTCCTTGCTATGCCTTTGGCCTGTCTGACTTTTCCCCACAAAGTATCCAAGCATGGTTT